TTTCAATAACTGTTCTTTGTTTATACGGAGTATTTTTTATAGTCTATTTGAGGTAATAAATTATTTTTGTGGTCATTTTTGGTAGAATGTACTTTTCATATACTTTTTACTATGTAGTTTGTATTATTTATTTTCTTACTAATTTGTAAATAAATTAATTTAAATAATTTGATATTTTGTATGTTGTTTGAAAAAAGAATATAATATTCTTTTTAAATATAGAGGGGACATATATTTTATAAATTCATAAACATATATAATATACAGCGGCACTTGACATTAGCACTATTGTTTTTTTAATAGGGAAATGATATTTGGAGTATAGTTTAATTTTTTATATTAGCATTTCGAATTGTACTATTCACTCGAATAGCTTGTTTTGGAGGGTCAAAAAAGAAACTGAGTGTAAATAACATTTCTTACTAAAATATAGAGATCCAATTTTTATATTCCATTTAAGTTTTATGTTTTTCTAGGTAAATTTCTTTAATAGATATCAGTTGTAAATTTCACACCCCACAAAAAATTAAATTTGCCTCGTATACTAATTTTAATTTACTCCAATTTTTTCTAAACTACTTGGAATCTCATATTTTGTAGAGACTCATATACATTGTACGAGTATTATGATAAAATACTATTTTGAGTTAAAATATTACGGAGTATAATGTTATATAAATAATTTTAATATATAGTACGGAGTATGTTTTATATAAATATTTTTAATCACTAGATATATATTTTTGAAATAAAAATTGTAATTTTAAAGTGAGACACATTTATTGATATTTACGTAGTATATAATTTTGTAATTTTAAAAGTAATAAAAGGGAAAAAATCGTGAATAGCATTAAAAAAAATAATTTTATAATATAAAGAAATACTTGTTACATCTTGTTTGTTAAAGGGAACAATTTTAAAGTAAGAGTAAAATATCAAAAATATACCAAAATATGAGTTCCATATTTTTATTTTTGAAAAAAGAATTAAAACACATTTATAAGGTCATTCATGACCATATACATTACAAATAAGTATTGTGAAATGTTCACATACAATGTCACATTACCACAATACGAACTCTTATTTTAAAAATAAAAATATTGAGTTTCTATTTTGGTATTTTTTCTATATTTTACTTTTATTCAAAATGATTTCTTTTTTGTAGAACTTATGATGTAATATTGAATGTTGTAATTTGTACTTCATATTTCAAACCAGACTGTAAATAAAATTATTTCAAAATAGATTATATTCTGCACATTGTTCGAAACATGGAGAAAAGACATGAAATATAGTATATATTTCATCTCTATTACTTTATTTAATACTCAATCTTTTTAAATAGATCATTATAACTTTCTTAATATACATTAAAAAATGAATAGATTAATGTAAATATAAAATATGTTTATTCTTTTATTTGTTAAGGTAAAGACTATAATATACTCCTTAATAATGATTATTAACGTAGTTAAAAAGAATAATATCAAATCAAAAATGTGTTTTTACCGAGAAAAATATGATAAATACAATATAAAAATATATGGTTGAAATTAGACCTGGAGAAAAATGACTCGATCTGTTTTTGACCCGAAACCCGATCTGAAAACATTGGGTTTTGAATAAAGATTTTGATGACCGAATCCGAAGTTGACCGAACCCAAAATGACCCGCTAAAAATAGGTCAAACCTGACCAAACCCGAACCCGACCTGACCGACCCGCTAAAGTAAGAATTTTTCAAAATCATACACTTTACTACTTGTTTTTGGTGTATAAATTTATATTTTCAGACAAAATTTTAATGGTATTGCATAATTAACTTACTTTTTCCAAAACTTAAGCATTTTTTAAATTCTTTATATTGATTTATATATCTAAAAATTACTTCAAAATTTTAAATAAAATAATCTATTCGATTTAATACTTTTTTTTGATATTTTAAAATTATTAAATAAAAAATGTAAGTGTTAATGTAAATTTAAAAATATAAAAAAACCAAAGTCATAACCCGTTGGGTCGACCGGATGACACTGGGTCATGAACATATAATTTTTAACCTGAACCTAAATTGACCTCAACCCGAAATAACCCAAACTCGAAATGGCCGAATTCGAATCCGACCTGACCAACTGATTTGCCAGCTCCAGTTGAAATTTATATCTCCGAAGTTTCTCTGATCTATTGGGGATGACGTTTTTGTTCGAGGATATCTACCAATCCTACGTATTAAAAACAATGTATCTAGAGTAATGCTAGAGTCACAAACAAACAGTTCACAAAATTCACAAACTTGCCTTTTTAACACTTTTCTAGAAATAAGATGTACTCAAATAATAAAAAATATTTTAATTTAAAATCTACAAAAGGCAAGTTTGTAAAGTTTGTGAACTATATGTTTGTGACTCTAGCATTTTCCATGTATCTATGAATAGTTTGCTTGTGCCGATTTAGAAAATTGTTATACTCTCTCTGTTTTTAAAAATATTTCCGTACTAATTTTTTTCTTACCTCATAAAATTTTTTTTCTCTATTTTAAATGTCAAAAATACCTCCAAAATAATTTCTATTCGCAATAAACTACATAATAAGATGTATTTAGGTGGAAGTAAAAATATTTTCTGGGATCCACAAAAAAATAGGGCGGAAATGTTTTCAAGAACGAAGAGAGTAAAAAACTATACATTATATTTTAAAAATTATACCCCATATGTGCAAATTTGGAAATCTATTACGGAGTAAAAAGAACACTAAGAGTCCGTTTGATAGACAGAATTGACGGAATTGAAATTGAATTAGAAGTTGGATATTTATAGAATTGATTTGGGGGAAATTGAATTCTCTTCATTTTTTGCGCTACCAATTTCAAATCTACATATTTTTGTGTTATCAAACACTAGAATTGAAATTGTTATTACCAATTCTAATTCCATATTTTGAATTACGTGTACTAAATGAAGCCTAATTAAATTTTATTGATTTCGACAGTTTTTACCACAATTCTATCAATTTTACTCATTTTCTTTTATGATCTAATTTAATACGGAGTAAAACCCTTCTCTCCAAACAACACAATTATCTCATATTGTCATGTCAAACGACTAATAAAGTTAATAATTGCCTCTAAAATAAATGGGGTGGAATAAAAAAAGGGCAATTTACTTAAATAACATTAAAATATATTGATTTTTCTTAAATATCATCATATACATTTTTTTCTCAATGTAGCACTTTTAGTCATTATCCATTGGTCAATGTTCGTCATAATTGGACATTATAAACATTATTAAGTGCTATTTAGAGAACAAAACAATTTAGTTGATATTTAGAGAAATGACTTTAATTTTTAGTTCTATTAAGTATAAATATTTCATAAAATTTAAAAAGAATATTGAACAATAAAAAATAAGAGTTAAAATATATTTTTAAAAAATGCTTTCAATCCAGAATTATCTTTTTACTTTTTATTTAGATTATCCAAAATTTTAATCTATTTTTCTTTTAGGGATAATGTGTGTTCGAAATAATTATTTTTTCTCACAGACAAACTAAACCACACAAATTTCACTTTATTAAAAATTATCCAAGTGAAATGAAAAAGATAATTAAAGGAAAAAACAAAATAGGACTAAAAACAGCAAGAAGAAGAAAATAGGGTACTGGCCTATAATACTAATAAATACTACCTCCGTTCCAGTGTATTTGTCCAGTTTGACTTTTTTGAGTCAAACTATACAATAAATACTACCAAACTGGACAAATATATTGGGACAGAGGGAATACTACTGTATATAATTCTAATATGCATTGCATGATAAAATATGCATTGTTACAAGTAATAGTCATATTGTATGATAAAATATGAACTTTGTATCTTTTGTGTTGGAATTACCGTTATGTTTTGTTTATATTTTGGACAATTTTTAAGAAAACATTGAACGAGGGATGTAAAGATTATGTACCACTTTTTTTATATTCTAAATTTATTAAAAAATAAAATATAAAAACATGGTATTCTCACATCTAAAAAAGGGGTGGCGTTTAAATTAGCCACCATTAGTTTAGAAAGGAACACAAAGCCATATATTTTTATCTAAAAAATAATACTAGGTCAATTATTTTGGATAATCTAAAATGGAGAGTAGGACAATCATTTTGGGAGGGGAATACCTGCTCCTCACTATAAAAGATGCAAAATCATGTAGAAAGGACGATTTGATTTCATAAAATTTAAAAAGAATATAGAACAATAAAAAATGAGAGTTAAAATATATTTTAAAAAAAAATCTTTCAATCCAGAATTATCTTTTTCCTTTATATTTAGATTATCCAAAATTTTAATCTACTTTTCTTTTGCGGAAAATGCGTGTTCGAAATAATTTATCTTTCTCACAAACAAACTAAACCACACAAATTTTACTTTATTAAAAATCATTCGAGTATTTCAAAAAAAAATCATTCGAGTGAAACGAAAATTAAAAGAAAAAGCACAATAAGACTAAAACATAGCAAGAAGAAGAAAATAGGATACCTGCCTATAATACTACGGAGTAATAAATAGTACTGTATATAATTCTAATATGCATTGCAACATTGTTACAAGTAATAGTCATATTGTATGATAAAATATGAACTCTGTATTTTATGTTGGAATTATCGTTATGTTTTGTTTATGTTTTTGACAATTTTTAAGAAAACATGGAACGAGGGAAGTGAAAATTCTGTACCACTTTTTTTATATTCTAGTTTTGTTAAAAAATAAAATATAAAAATAATGTATTCTCACATCTAAAAATGTAACATTTGCAAATCAAGAAAGATAACAAGATAATTAGTCACGGGCCGGATGGAACAGCTGTTAGCCGCAGCATATCCTGAGCCGACTAACTCGGACAATACGAAGCCGGCTCAGCGGGCCCACGCCACATTACTAATCCAACCGTACCTCAGACTATCCTTATCGATAAGCGCACTGACTTATCACCCGATATAAGCAGACCAGCTTATCACCACCACTTATGGGTCGCCTCCTCATCTCCATATAAAACCACTATTTTCCTGCAAATAATGTCGTGTGTTTCCAATTCACTTCTCCTCCGCCATATGTTAGAGAGAGAAAGCCCAGATTTCTAGAGAGAGAGAGAGAAAAGAAAGGGGGAAAAAAAGCTCTGCCCTTCAGGGGATCTGTCTTCCTCTTCGTCTCCATCTACTTGTTCTTGGATCTCTCTTTCTCTGGTTCAAGTGAGTATTACCCACAAGCCAAACAGACCCTTATCTTTCTATCTCTATCTCTATTTGTGTGTTTTTTTTGCAGGATTTACTTTTCTTTATTTATTAATTAATTAATTCTTTTTTAATTTTTGCTTTAATATTCCATTTTTCTCTCTCCCTATCTAAAGCAAGCATAATGGAGTGGATACTTGTTCACTTGCCTTTCTGGGCACTCTCTTTATTTTTATTTTCCTTAAATTCTTTATCTATTATTTTACCATTTTTTTTTCTTTCTGCACATTTGATTCCGATTGAATTAAAGCTGCTTTCTTGTCTGTGATTCTTCTACATGTGCATTGGGATATTGGGTATTGAGTGAAAAAGACTCAATCTTTCCTGGTGTTAGATGAGATTGGAGATTTGTAGGAGTTTAGTTCACTTCAACTTCTCCCAATCTGGTCTGGATTTGAATGTTTATCTGATTTTTTCTCTCTGGTTCAAGAATCACTGTAGTTTTAATTTTAGCTCTGTGCAGTTTAGTGTATTTATTTTGCAATAATTAATCTGTCGCATTGTGATTAATAATTGAATAAAGTCATCTGCTTACCCTTTTCTATTAGTTAATTAATTAATTCTTTTAGAGTTTTGATTTCTAGATCTGGAAACACATGCTGTTTTTTCTCTGGGGGTTGAAGATTAGGTAGCTACAAATACAATGTCATCTCTCAGCAGAGAACTTGTGTTCTTGATCTTACAGTTTCTAGATGAGGAGAAGTTCAAAGAAACTGTTCACAAGTATGTATTTTTTTGAGGTCTTATTGTTATTGAGTTTTATTTCCTTGAAGATGATGTGTGTTTTTCTAGTAGCCTAACATTGTGAGATTGGTTATGGAAATGCTAGGCTTGAACAAGAGTCTGGTTTTTTCTTTAACATGAAGCATTTTGAGGATGAAGTGCACAATGGAAACTGGGATGAGGTTGAGAAGTACCTCTCTGGTTTCACCAAAGTGGACGACAATCGGTATTCGATGAAAATATTCTTTGAGATTAGAAAGCAGAAGTATCTTGAAGCTCTGGACATGTGAGTTTTGGCATTATTTTTATAGGCCATTTCCACTTTGCTATAAAATATGATGATATATGGCTTCTTGAGTTTTTCTCATGTATGCCTCAATTGGATATTTAATGCAAAATTCGTCATATATAGGCGTAATCGGCCCAAGGCAGTTGAAATCCTTACAAAGGATCTTAAAGTTTTTGCCTCTTTTAATGAAGAGCTGTTTAAGGAGATTACCCACCTTTTGACATTGGACAATTTCAGGTTCTAATTTGTCACATGATGGCATAAGCTTCTGTCTGATAGCCATATTTAACGAAGAGCTGTTTTAGGGAGTTTACCATGTTCTTGTATACTGTAGGGAAAATGAGCAGTTGTCAAAATATGGAGATACAAAGTCCGCAAGAGCGATAATGTTGGTTGAGCTCAAGAAGCTCATTGAAGCAAATCCTTTGTTCCGTGACAAGTTGCAGTTTCCTGGCCTAAAAAACTCAAGATTACGTACGCTCATCAACCAAAGGTGACCTTTTATTGTCTTAGATGTTTCACTTAGATTGACAAACATTTCATTGCCAACGGAGCTAAAATAGTCATAATTGATGATGTTCTAGCTTCAAGTAAATAATGTGCTAAATCAAAATGACACATTAAACTTTATTTTCTTCTTACTTTCAATGAAGTCTTGGCTAGTAAAAGAACCAATGCATCTAGGGCCTACCCGAAATAATCTCTCTATATAATTTATAGGGGTAAGGTTGCGTACTTGCGTACAGCCGTACATCCAGACCCCCAGATCCCAACAAAGTTGGGATTATATCTGGTTGTGAAATTGGCGTTTTGCATTCAATATTGTCGCTGGTTATTAAAATGATTTGAGAACAGATTTGCTTTGAAAGGCAGAAAAATGCATTGTTGTGGAAAATGTTTAACTTGAAAAACATTACTCTCGAATTAGTTTTTTTACATTATAAAATAATGGTTAACAGAACTATCAAAAATTGCATTTTTGATTGCGGTGGGCCTTCAAATGATATGAAATGTAGAAGAGTTTATTTATCTACGCGTTCTTTGTTTGGTTTCTTCAAAACAAATAATCAAGTTCTCTTGGAAAGTATTTTTTGGAAATTGAGATTTTCAATGTATAATATTCTGTATAATGTTACACATAAAAACAAGGGAAAAAGTCCTTCAAAGAAATCAATGACCACTTTTAAAATGAAGAAATTTTTTTCTGTGCCGAACAAGGTTTTAAAAGGCGAGAACTAGCCTCGAGGCGGTAGAGGAAAATGCCCCAAGGCGTAAGCCTCGAGGCAGAACAAGGCTTCAACTTGAAAAAAAATAACAAAGAAAACAACTTTTATGTAAACAAAATGCATAATCCATAATTATGTCAAATAAGTCATTAAGTAATACATAAGTTTTCATTTAAAGCAAAAAAGGGAGGGCAAAATAAAAACGCAATAAGATAATCATGATTCATGATATCATTTTGAGACTATAATTTAAGTCTCCAAGTTCTTGTTTAGAGTCCCGCAGAGGCGTAGACTACTCAAAACTTAATCTATCATCATGATGTTGGAATCTAAAGCAGTAATATACAAAAAATTAGGTAATTCACAACCAAAACACTAAAAAAGTTGATATAAAACCAAACTATATGTAAAAAATTAATTTTAAAGTAATTATAAATTATAATATAAACAATTTAATAATGAAAAATCTTAAAATTATTCAAGCTGCTGGAATTTTGGAAAATAAAATTACCAGAGTAAAAAAAAAAGTTAAAACAAATCTTCAAGAAATCATAAATTCGTACCTTAAGAGAGAAACGAAAACGAGAATCTGAAGCCAAATTGCACAGAGAAACCCGCGACGAGAGAGAGAAGCCAGAGCGAAAGAGAGAAACGGTGAAAGAGAGAGAATCGGAAGCTGGACAGCCGTGCGATTGGAAATTTGGAACTTAAGAGTTTATTTATTTTTATTTAAGTAGTGGTTTCTGCCTAACTTTTTCAAAGGGGCCAACTATTTGAAGGCCCAATAACTTATACGGACTATATTTCAAGGCGTACGCCTCGCGGAAATCATCTGGTGCGAACGCCTCTGGGGCAAAAAACTACCGCCTCAGCGCCTTACCGCCTCAGGGCGGACCGCCTTTTTCGCCTTTTAAAACCATGGTGCCGAATACTAGAAAATCCATAACCATTTTACTACCATAAAAACAGACAGACCCTTACATTGACAATGTGTGCAAGAGTGCAGTTTAAATTGGCAGCACCAGCTATGCAAAAACCCACGGTCAAATCCAGATATCAAGACTCTTTTTGTTGATCACGCTTGTGGACAACCAAATGGCTCCCATGCTCCTTTGCCTGCAAGCAACCATTTACTCGGACCAGTTCCCAAACCCGGAGGTTTCCCTCCTCTTGGTGCCCACGGGGTTAGTCTTTCTTTTGTTATTATCTCATTTATTTAAGTTAACGAGCCACAAACTTATTTGTTATTGAGCCGGAGGTCAATGGCCTCTCTACTTTCAAGTAGGGTAATGTTTTCACACACATACCCTCCCCAGACCCTACTTTTGAGGGATTTTCATGGGTTTGCTCTTGTTGTTGTTGCTGTATTTAAGTTAATGAGGCACAGATTTATTTGTCATCATGTATTTTTGTATTTCTATATTAATCAGCCTTTTCCACCGGCGCCCACTCCAGTCCCAGCTCCACTTGCTGGTTGGATGTCCAACGCACCCACAGTGAACCATCCAGCTGTTTCTGGGGGACCCATGGGTTCTGCAGGACCCATGGGCCTCGGTGCTTCATCCATTCCAGGTACCATATTTTTTCAATCATTCTCTTAGTGCCGTTCGTCACAAATTCAACTTAATTAAAAATAGTATCAATACCATGCAAGATGATAATTAGGAGAGGGAGCGCCGAGCGAGATTAATAAAAGTTTACTTCTAATACCATACACGACTTAGTTGAAATGTCTTTTGAAAATTGATTGATGAACGCAGCTGCTCTCAAGCATCCAAGGGCCCCAACAGCAAATCCTGTTGATTATCCAACCGTGGATTCTGATCATGTCAGTAAAAGACCAAGGTCACTGGGAATAGGTGATGAGGTACATTGATCTCAAATCTTTACATCATTCAACTCTAAATTCTTACTGTTTTCTGAATAAACGTAGCCTTAAATGTTTGAGCATCCTAAAAGAGTCGTTATAATTTACAATGTGTTAGTTTTGGGTAAATAATGGACCAAATCAAAATGACACATTAAACCTCCTATGCTTTTTACTCTGAAGTTTTGAGTAGTAAATGCAACAAGAGATCAACAGAAGCAACCTTTCCAGGTTTTGTTTATCAGCATTTTCTGAACTCAGCTATTAATGGCAATTTCAGGTCAACCTTCCGGTCAATGTGATGCCGGTATCATTCCCAGGGCACGGCCATAGCAGCAGCCAGGGGGGTCACAGTAGTGCACATGATGACCTTCCAAAGACCGTAGTGAGAACACTTAACCAGGGTTCATCTCCTATGAGCATGGATTTTCATCCGGTTCAACAAACCTTGCTTCTAGGTTTGTAATCTCCAAATGTCAATTTAGACACTAATATTAATAAATAAGTAAATAAATAATAACTGTGAAATAAAAACCAACTACCAGTTTAAGCTTTTAGCATGGGAGTTAAACTTGCATACTATGTTTATGAATCAGTTGGGACCAATGTTGGAGACATAGCTTTGTGGGAAGTTGGTTCACGGGAGAGATTGGTTTTGCGAAACTTCAAGGTGTGGGATTTGAGTGCATGTTCGAATCAATTGCAGGTCTGTTTTTGCCCACTTAAACACCACTAATTACTGACGGTCATGTAAAAGCTCATTTATATTCAGATTTTATATAGTCACTGAGTCCAAATGGCCTCTCTATCTTGTGGGAATTTACTGGGTTTGTTTTTGCTGTTGTAATGAGCCTAAATCTTCTATGTTTTCTTCCTGAATTTAGACGGCACTAGTAAAAGATCCAGGTGTTTCTGTTAATTGCATAACTTGGAGCCCCGATGGCTCGTTATTTGGTAAGCTATAAGCCATTTACTTTTCTTTCCATCTCACAAAGATATGTTTGTATGTACTTATTGGATTACTCTTATTTGGCATTATGGGAATGAAAAATTAAGTAGGGGTAAACTTGGAAATGTAAAATTAAATGCAGTCTCAATATTGAAACTGGACGGTCTTTGTTAGATGAAGGGAGTACGTGCTTACAATGAAGTGGACTATGAGTGTAATATATGTAATTTCCTATAACTATGTTGCGTAGGGGTGGCATATTCAAGGTTTATTGTACAAATATATTCTTATCATGGAAACGACGATGTGCGCCAGCATTTGGAGGTAATAAACTTTTGTCAAATCTTGTTTCTCATACTTTACATTTGGGACGTTCCTATGACGTGGTAATTAAAATGAGGTTACTACCATATATATGGCATGACAATGTAGGCTGCCCCCTCCTTTAAGGAAAAAAAAACTCTGTAGTCCATTAAGGTTAAAATGTTTTTCTAAGGTGACACAATGTATCAGTTTTGTCACAACTTGCCAAAGGAACCCTTTTAGTAAAGATTCTCTCCATTTCAACTCTACCAGAAAACAATCCCTCAGTAGTAATTTAGGACAGCTAAGACATTTTGTACTCCCTCTGTCCCATAGAATGAGTTCGTGTTGTTGAACCAACTATGCATATATTCTTAAACAAGTTGAGAAATGACTCTTTTTATGGGACAAAAACAAGTTGAGTCACTCTTTTTATGGGGCAGAGGAGCGTGTGGAAGACTAATACACTCTTATTTAATGCACGATATTGATTATAGAAGGGTATAATAAGAAATCCAGGTAATAAATACTGTTTCTCGCTAGTCATGACTGTGACGAACTCCAAGAATGGAGTCTTTCCCCTGTAATTTATAAATTTCAGAATTGGACCCAAATGTTTCTTAAATACAGATTGATGCTCATGTTGGTGGTGTAAATGACCTTGCATTCTCTCATCCTAATAAGCAACTCTGCGTGATAACTTGTGGGGACGACAAGACCATAAAGGTAAAGAAAAGTTGTGTTTCATTTGCGGCAATAAAAAATGATACTTTCCATATCAACTGTTCATTATGATTCTCTTGATGCATTAAAAAATGAATGAATGTAGACATGCTGAGTGTCTACATTCATTCATTTTTCAATGTATCCAAAAAGTGATAGTGGTCAGCTATTAATGAATGGAGGGAGTACGTCACAGGTAAATCATGATTAATTGTGGCATTTTCCGATTTTTAAGGTGTGGGATGCAGCCAATGGTACAAAACAGTACACATTTGAAGGACATGAGGCTCCAGTGTATTCTGTGTGCCCTCACCATAAAGAGAGTGTTCAAGTAAGATTAGTATTTCCTTTTTTAATGTGATCATCCTAAGCTTTGAAATTTTCTTTCCGGCCGCCTTTAACAATTGAATCTTATTTTCTTTCTCAGTTTATTTTTTCAACGGCGATAGATGGGAAAATAAAGGCATGGCTGTATGATAATATGGGATCCCGCGTGGATTATGATGCCCCAGGTCGCTGGTGCACTACAATGGCCTACAGCGCTGATGGAACAAGGTTGAGTCTGTTCATCCTATTTATTGTCCCTACCAATGTTGACCTACATATTGGAAAAAACCTCTCTACTTCCTTGTAGGGGTAAGGTCTGGGTACACAAACCCTACCGTCGTAGGATTGTACTGTGCTAGATGTCCCATAGGCCAAAAAGTGAAGTTGAGGAAGGACTTATTTTAAACACCTGGCAGTTCCTAATGTCCTCCATTTCCTTTCCTTTTTGTATAGACTTTTTTCATGTGGAACAAGCAAGGACGGGGAGTCCCACATTGTTGAATGGAACGAAAGCGAAGGAGCTGTCAAGAGGACATACCAAGGTTTTCGGAAGCGCTCCTTTGGAGTCGTTCAATTTGACACCACCAAAAACAGGTATTTGGCTGCCGGCGACGATTTCTCCATAAAGTTTTGGGATATGGACAATGTTCAAATGTTGACAAGCATTGATGCAGATGGAGGACTTCCGGTAAGTTTGTGCTAATCATTCTCTAAAGGGTCTGTTTCTAAACCAGAAAATGCTAAGGAAGTGAAATAAGAAATAAATTAGGTTGGAGATTGGACGTCCCATGAAAGAAAATATGAGGGAAAATAAAATATTACTCCACATATGCTAAAGACCATATATAAATCTAAACATATTTCCAAGGTAAAATCCAAATATAAAAACGTTATATTCCTTAGCATTTTCACCTTTCCCTACCATTATCCTATCTCACAAAGCCTAAGCCTTGCCTTTCCTTGCTATATAATAATCAAGGCAAGCCCGCGAATCCGATTCAACAAGGACGGCACTCTATTGGCTGTTTCTGCTAATGAGAATGGGATAAAGATTCTAGCAAACACTGATGGCATACGCTTACTTCGCACCTTTGAAAATCTTGCTTATGATGCTGCAAGAGCATCTGAAAATGCCAGCAAGGTATGCTTATGTGTGTGTGTATATGTGTGTGTGTGCGCGTGTGTGTGTGGTCACAGGAGCGCATTTATTGTTCTAGAAACTGACACAAAGATTTTCCACTTCTATGTGTAGCCTACGATTAACTCAATCTCTGTAGCATCAGCTAGTAATGCTGGATTTGCTGAACGAGTAGCCTCTGCCGTTGGAACCTCTGGAATGGTTTGTACTATGATGTTTTTTTTTTGAAACTTCGTCTCTTCGTGTCAACTTTTCTCTCATTCATAGAAAACCAAAATATTGAAAGGTTATATACTATCTCATATTATGTTCTACTTTCAGTTTCCTTCCAAGCCTATTAAAAACCTTTAATCCAAACACACCGTATGACACAAATTCTCCTAACAAGATTAACATTTATATAAGTAATAGCGCTTTTACCGTTTTGTTTCTTTTTCTTGTCAGAATGGGGATGCAAGAAACATGGGGGATGTAAAGCCAAGGATCACAGAAGAGATAAATGACAAATCAAAAGTTTGGAAGCTATGTGAAATCACTGAACCTTCTCAATGTCGGTCCTTGAAGCTGCCAGAGAATTTGCGAGCAACAAAGGTAATGTTTTTTTAAAATTTACATTTATGCCCCCCTATAACGTGATTTAGTATAAACGACCCTATTTCCCTCTGCATATGACAGATCTCAAGGTTAATATACACAAATTCGGGGGGTGCTTTATTGGCATTAGCATCAAATGCCATTCACCTTCTGTGGAAATGGCAACGTGGAGACCGTAATTCTAGTGGCAAGGTAAAGCATTTTAAGCGATTGAAAATGTTTCCTTTTTTGCCCTCCATTGTTATTTGAACGATTAAATTGAGCATCAACAATTCTGTTTATACTGTAGGCAACTGCCAGTGTGGCACCCCAATTATGGCAGCCTTCAAGTGGCATCTTGATGACCAATGACGTGGCAGACAAGAACCCCGAGGATGCTGTCCCGTGTTTTGCTCTATCTAAAAATGACTCTTATGTGATGTCAGCATCCGGCGGGAAGATATCCCTCTTCAACATGATGACATTCAAGGTCACATTTTTTTTGAATTCAAGATTTGATTTATCTCTTTTTTTAACTTTCCATGTGATAACAAGACGGATGTTCTATTTTTTATTCTCATGATGCAGACAATGACAACCTTCATGCCTCCCCCACCAGCAGCGACGTTTCTTGCTTTCCATCCTCAAGATAACAATATCATTGCCATTGGCATGGACGATTCTACAATCCAAATATATAATGTTCGTGTGGACGAGGTATGTATGTATGATAGAGATATGGAAAGTTATTTCATTGTGATTGGTTTTACCATGGGAATTTTGAAGAAGAATGACATACGATTATTCTTCATCTAATTTTTGATATGGTTAGATTTATTAGTCTTTATACTTCCTCCGTAAAAAACCCACTTTCCCTTTTTAAACCTCTTTTTAGACGGCCCAAAAACAATTCCCTCTATTACTTTTTCAGTAATGAACATGTGATGATGTGACTCGCAATATTTCTCGCTCATTTCAACACATTATAATGATACATTTTTCACTTTTTAATACCTTTTTTAAACTCCGTGAAAGCCAAACTGGGTAAGTTTTTTTGGGACAGAGGGAGTATAATAGAAATAGATAAACATAATCTAGTGTAATCAAACATGAAAAATGTATTATTCCTATATGGGCCTTTCATCAAGACTGACGAAATACATATTGTATAGGTCAAGAGCAAACTCAAAGGGCACTCCAAAAGAGTAACCGGGCTCGCCTTCTCACATGTACTTAATGTGCTGGTTTCATCAGGAGCCGATGCACAGGTAATGGAAGTTTTGATTCCTAGAATTTTTTTTATTTTTTTATTGCTATTTGGCAATGAAAATGCCACTTTTAACCCCAGAGGTGTCACCAAGGTTGACACGATCCGAGAAAGAATCACACGCACACAACACTGTTACCACTCTCAGTAAGACACTAGTGGTGTCAACTTTGGTGTCTATCTGTGGTGCGACTTAGCATTGTCCTACTCCCCTGCATTCCATATTAACTGTCCTTTATGACTTTCTTGATACAGTAAAAAATGAATGAATCTAGACATACGTTATGTCTACATTCATTTTTCAATGCATCAAGAATGTATTAACGTACAGTTAATATGGAATGGAGGGAGTGTTTGGTAATTATATTTTAACCCACACGTATTGATGGAACAATATGAAGCTTTTTGTGTGGAGTTCGGACGGATGGGAGAAGCAGAAGTCCAAGTTTCTCCAGCTTCCTCCAGGGAGAGCCTCTGTACAGTCAGACACTAGAGTGCAGTTTCATCAGGACCAAATTCACTTCCTGGTCGTTCACGAGACTCAGCTTGCCATTTATGAAGCCACAAAGTTAGAATGTGCTAAACAGGTACTCCCTCTGTCCCATAATTATCTTCTTGTGTAGTTATGAAGTAATAACTCATGTGGTTGTGACACAAACATTGTTGCAGATGTTACTTTTTGGTATATGTATTTGAGATGACTTTTTTTTCTTTTTTCTTCAGTGGGTCCAACGGGAGGTAGCCGCACCAATATCACACGCGACATTCTCGTGTGATAGTCAGCTGGTGTACGCCAGTTTCTTAGACGCGAGCGTGTGCATATTCACTGCTGCAAATCTTTGTCTCAGATGCCGTATTGCTCCTTCCGCTTATATCCCCCCGGGTCTCAGGTACTCCTTGACTTCGTTAGCTGCAATGTGTGTGTGTGTGTTCTAGGCGCCCTAAGGGCATGTGCCCCACTTAAGGACCTACTAGTTGAGTTGGTTCCTTTGACCTGGTATCAGAGTATTGCTGATCCAGTGGTCACATGTTCAAATCTTACTGCCACCTAATTTCAAAAAAATTAATGTTCACCTGAAGGCTCGAACAAAACAAAACCTTTTGTTTAAGTTGGTTTTCTTGACACACTTGTGATATTGATCCTAATACTAGTGGTGACTCCCCCCCCCACCCCACCCCTCACCCCCCGGAATATAGCAGCTCAGGTGTACATGCACTCGTAGTAGCGGCTCACCCGCAAGATCCGAATCAGTTCGCGTTAGGGCTCTCAGANCGGATGCGTCCTAGTATTCGAACCACTCGAATCTGAGGGCAAATGGGGAATTCCGCCGCCGCTAGAGAACGGGTCATCAAGCACGGCCGCGGGCCCTGATCAACCTCCGAGATGATGATCGACCGGGATGAGATTTTCGTCGAATTTGGATGTAAATACCTGTTGTTGTTGCTGGATGCACCATATTTTTTTTCACCTTACTGTTTGTGGTTTAGGAGACTAACCTGCTGATTTCTTCTTGCAGTCCAGAAGTTGATTTTGGGTCTTATAACATTTTCCAAATATGTAATCTCAAGGGTTAGAATTTAAAGCTCTCTTAATTGTATTCTTCAATTTGAAGTTCTTATTCAAGTGGTAGACCTCATTGGTTATAACAAAAAATGATTTTATAGTTTGGTGGTTGGTTATATTACCATGAATTGGAATTTGGCCAAATTGTAGGTTTTATGTTTAATTACCTCCATCCTATAAAAATATGTTGTGTGATTTTTTCAGAGTTCAAAAAAATATTGAAAATTGGAAAAAAAGTATTTAAGTTGTGAAAAAAATTAGTTTTGAAGCATATTCTTTTTCGTTAAAAGAAAGTTTTTTTTCTTTTTGCACATGAAAACATATTAAGCAATTAAGAGATTTATGATGTTTCATGTTTGTGATGAAGTCTTGCAAAGAAACAATTGTCTAAGGTGCATACTCTCTCTGTCTAATTTAAATTGTTTGTTTTGGTTTATGATGTTTGATTTAAGTTATTTTTGAACCATTTACATGAAAAAAGTGTATAATTAAAAACAAAAATTACATATTTAAAAATTACATTAAAAAATTTACAAAACTAGTGGTAACATGACTATATTATTTTATTAAATAACAAATGAAAATAGAGAAAGATAGTGAAGGAAATTAATAGATAATTTAATTTGGAACAAAGGGTGTACTATAAATTTTTATTACATTCGTCTTTAAATTTTTGTCTAGTTTTAGTTTTTTGCAAACAATTATTTTCAACCTTTGACTTCAAATTAAATAAAAAAGTACTATATAATATACATTAGATAAAATAATATTAAAAAAATATTATTTTTAATGAATTGAACAAATATTTTTATATCAATATGTAATACTAGTTTTATTTAATTAACAATCAAAATTTGTCAATTTTTAGCTGTGAGCACATTAATATTGTTTTACTAATTAGTTTTATTGAGCACATTAATATTGTTCAATCACTCCCTTCAAAAAAAATTGTTCAATCACTAATTGGTACTATTAGATATTGATACAGAATTAATGCGTTTTCATATTTGTCAATTAAATATAGTAGCTTTATTGAGCACATTAACATTGTTTTACAACAAATTAATCTGTTTCAGTCCAAAGTCTGTCAATTTTATTGAGCATTATGCATGTGTACACACAACCATAACTTAAAACAATTTTAGTTTCAAGCCATTTATACTTGTTTTGCATCATTTTATAACTTAAAACAACTTTAGTTTCAACATTCAAACAGAGAAATCACTACTTATATATATACAGCCCTTGTATATATACAGATGCCATCGGACGAAGACGACGACGTATTTACAATTACAATTCAACAAATGCCGAGTTTTATTAGCGTGTCTATGTACAAAAACACTTATGTGCAGCAGCAGAATCATTTCACATTCATTCGGGCCTGAAATTCACGAGGCCCGGGAGGTCGGTGGACTGGAGCTTCTTGATGTCGTTAGCGGTCACTTTGCATGACTCCAATGTCAGCGACTTCAGCCTCTTGAGCGTCTTCAGATGCCGTAACCCGCCACTCGTTACCCGGGAATTCGACACGTTGAGAGACACCAACGATGTCAATCCTGCACCACCAACACAAAGGGTTAGATATGTTTTTAGTCACTGTAAAAAAAGGCTACTTATGTTTGAGAGTTATGATATCACAACCTGGTTGACCTAGAGATCATGGTTGACCATGTTTTTTATCCCAAAAATAGGAGTACAATGCCAAAAATGTCAATATATAGTACCAAAAGATACAGTGAGATGTCACTCTAGTCTCTACAATGCTATAATGTCAGAGTGCAAACTCCTATTTTGGGCATTAAAACATGCAACTCCTATTTTAACGATAAATGTTATGTTTTACTCTTAAACAGGTGATTTCTTAACAATCATCATATGGTGTAAGACACTCGTAGAGTATAAAATATTTTCTACGTCTTCCGCCACAAACTTGAGTTTATGGTCGCGTAGGTTCTTTGACAGTATTAGTCATTATGGCGTAACGATCACAATGGACAGTTTTTCCAAAAAAAAATTGAGGGACCAAAATAGCTGACTTTTGCCCGGCAATCTTAGAGCGATATTGATAATGGGGTACCTGAAATGGCTTCCAGGCTTTTGTCGGTGAGGCGAATGTTCTGTGAGAGATTCAGAAGATTGAGCGCCGTCAGCTCTTTTATATTTTTCACCCCTGCATCCGTCAACCCCCCGCCACAAACTTCAAGAGACCTCAGGTTCTTGAAATCTGTATATTTATGCAGTGATCATGAAAATTAAAGATTAACATAATAAACTTGTTTTTTAAACCTATGCAGTTAATTCCCTGAAAATTATTGATGCAAAGAAACATTTAGTATAGAGAAGGGGAATTTTTTAAAGTCACCGGAAGCATACACTTTAAATAGTTTGTCCCGGAATCAGTAATACGAGCTCCGAACAGATCTAAATGGGTCAAACCAGTTAAACCTGCAAATATCAAGGGAAAATAAATAAATAAATAAGTTACCATTACAGAACGGGCGATAAAAGCCAAAAGGTATGACTACCAAACAAAGTACTACAAAACAATATGCCAAACTATGGCTTCATTTGGGAAAATCATTAGCGATTAGCATTTTGGAGATTTTTTTTAATGGTGCGGAACATGACGATGCTTAGTAACTTACTTGTAAGAGCAGCAAGGCCAGCATCGGTAATCTGACGGGCATCCAAGTTAAGTGACCTAAGTGAGGAAAGACCCTTTAGTTTTCTCAACCCACCATCCGTTATCACGGTGAACGACAGGTTCAAACTCTCCAAATGGTTTAACCCTACATCATATGTAAAACCCATATCAACTATTTGCCAAACAAGGCCAACTTTGGTCATTAAGTTAGCTTGGGGAGAACATCACATAACACTTAGGGCCTGTTTGGTGAGTTTTGGAGGGTTGATATGATATGAGTTCTGAAATCTGGAAGAAATGATAAAACTTGGAACGAATGTGATTGGAGGGGTGGGGGTGGGTTGCAAGTGATTGAGGAAGATATCAAAAATCCCCTAATTGATAGGTCCCGAATTCGAGAAAAATCAAAATGTCCCCATTTGGGAGGGTTGTGATATCGGGAAGTATAAGATCCGAACTCTATTTAGGTTTCGCCAAATAGGTTTCACCAAACGGACCCTCAGTTGTACAAAGTTGGTTTTTTGTAATTTGCTGCAATTACAAAGGAAACAGGGAAAACCTGAGAGATGTTGAAGTCCATTGTTTCCAACATCAGTATCAGACAACTCTAAGCACTTCAAACATTGAAGTCCTGACCTCATGACATCATATGAAAGCCGGAATCAGTCATCGACGTACATTTGATAACACGGGAATGAAAAATGATGCAAGTATATAAAACCAAAGGATAAGTTATATTCAAAGTTCAAACTTAACATGGAATCAAAGCGTGCTTCGATGGTAGCATGTGGGGTACCCCACACCATGATTTGGGCAGCCTACTTGTTAGTAGGGAGGCTGCTTCCATAGATGGGTAACTCTTCAATTAGATGTGTAAATCATCTTTTACTGTTAAAACAGGGTAAAGAAGTAGTAATATCAACAACAGATGCAAAACTACCAGCCAAGTGGACCAGCCCTTCATCTCCAATAGCACATGAATCCAAGTTTAAGCTCTCCAAATTCGTTAAACCTTCTTGAATTAAAAACCCAACAATTAGAGAGAAAAAGACGGGGAGGGCGTTCTACATCAATTACTATGAACAAAAGAGAACTCCACCTTTGAGGTGAATGAAAATGGCATCTGATATCGCATTGAATCCCATATTCAACACTTTTAAACTCTTTAGTCCTACAAAAAACAATCATAAGAAATGACCATCTATATAACCTCAGTTTCCAATAATGAAGTTCCATGTCTTGCGCATTATGGGGCATTTTATACCATATTATAACATTTAGATATGACTTACTACAAAACTTGTCGCACCCATCATCAGTCAAGTGACATCTGCTAAGATTGAGATATAAGAGGGCACCGAGTGCTGCATAACACAGCAAATCCAACATTAAAATTGATTGGGCTACAGTTTAACTATACAGATGAAATGAACTTTTTTAGAAATGGGAAGAACATTGAGACTTAAGGGTAGGATTGGATCATGGATACTGCCAATGAAAAAGGGGGAAAATGCTATGGAAAAAGTTCCTACGTTTGGTTTACCTTGGGAAAAAGGAAAATGAAATATGATTACCATTTTAATTACTCCGTATTTTTTTTATAAATATTTAGATTGTTTAGTCTTTATGTCAACAACAACAACCCAGTAAACAAATACAGAGTAAATACATAAGATGTGTTTGAAAAATATTAAAAATTATTTCGTGAGTTTGATTCTATTCCATTTTCCGATCTTTTACCGAAAGATATTAAAAAAAATATTTTCCCTAATTTTCTACCCTACTTATTTTCTTTCCATAGTATTTTTAGAGTTCCAAATTAACCCTAAGCACAATGTGCAAGAGAAAAATGCATTAACCTTCATTTAAACAAGTAAACAACATGATAGTAATATTAATAACCACAAACAACAACAGCAACAATAACAAACATATCCGGTAGAACCCTTCAAAGTAGGGTCTGTGGAGAGTGTGTACATAGACATTACCCCTCTTGGAAGTAGAGAGACTGTTTCCAAGAGCATAGAATTAAAACACCAGAGGATTTAAAATAACCTGAAAGAGATTCCAAGCATGCAGCAGTTACACGACAACCTTCCATGTTCAACAAAGTGAGTTTGTGCAGGGCTGCAGCAATTACAAACCCACTCTTCAATTCATTTCTATCATAATAAGAGTATTTGACACATCAAAATCCAAAGAGACTTTACCTTGAAGAAAGGTAACCCCATAATCCGTTACCTTGCTCGATGAAATTTGCAAAACCTTCAAGTTTTTTAGACCTGAAATTTGGGCAAGATGGAAAATTTACATATATTAGCCATTTCTTGTAAAAGTCCCTTCTGAAATCCATCATGGGCAAAACAACAGCATAGTAAAGAATGGAATAGTAAATAAAAACGCATGAATAAACAAACCCCTTCGAAGGCACCCCTAAACACCTAGCTCCTTCTTATAATCCAAGTCTCATGCCATATTACCCTACAATTTTAATCTTTTCCAAACTCTCCTCTCTAGGGCTAGATACCCTTACCTCTCCTCAAACTTGAAACTCCTCATATTCTACTCTACCTCTCCTCAAACGCCTCATGGCTAAACTCTCCCTCCTCCTTAAAGGAGCATCAATGCTCCTTCTTGGCACCTCCACACACCCCATATATGCATAGATGTATCAATACATATTTCAGTATCAAACTTTCTTCCAAACAAAAATGAATGTATTGAAAATAAATACACAAGATAGAGGTACCAGAAAGAGGCTTCATATCAGCATCTGTGATGCAATTGCAACAATTGACATTGAGAGACTCAAGTTTGGTCAATCCTGCCAAAGATTAAAAGTGTGGAACTTTTTAGATTTTATACTACGCTAAATCATAAGAGTATAATATAAAAATAAAATAGCAACACTTGTGGTATATATCATTGTTATATGCTGCAAAAATTTCAGACTTGTAGAGCTTGTTCTCTTAACTATTCTTATTACTCATTACTTATTCTTATTCGAATCAAATCAGAACCATTCACATCAGGTGAAGAAAACAAGCCCATAGTCTTGTACGTTGTGTGTGTGTGTGTAATTAAGCTATCATGCACCCACTCTTTATGTACATTTAAATAGAGCTGTAGATTGAGTTTATATTTAATCTGCAAATCACTAACATTGGTTTGGATGTTGTGACAGGTTAGTGGATAAAAAAAGGTGAAATATAAATAGGATTCACCTATAAGGTGAACAAACCCCCCATGGATCTTAGGGCATCTCTCCAAATCCAATTTCACCAAATTGATTAAGCCAGACAAAGCACCCATTCCTTGAGCTGTAATCATGCTGTTTCTTCTCAAACTCAGACTTGTCAAGTTTGAAAGGCCTGAAGAGTTGAACCATTGAAGAGAATGAAAAAAAGTGGCAACAAACCTCGGGTAATCCCACAAGTGGCTTCTGAGGAGGGTAAGGTGTATGCACCCGTGCAAGGTGGAGAGGATTGAAGAGAATGAATACGCAGCTTTTGGCTTACTTAATTGGCTGAAATGGATGTTTCATTTCCAAACATTTTTCTTCGAAAGAAGTTCAGCAAATACAGTCATTTCAGCCAAAATAGATTTACCAAAGGACCCCTACAAACTTTATGCCACGAATCTAAACTTGGTTGGAATTAAGGTGACAATGATGATAGTTTTTCCTCACTTCTCTCCATTTCTCTCTTGTTTTTAATTGGGAAACACCAGTTTCTTCCTTCACCGGTCCGTTTATTTCTCAAAGATAAAGGGTAAAACAGGTAAGCTAATTTGTGATACAGAGCAATGGGAGGGAGAAACGTACAGCTAATATGCTCCAGTCCACGGTCTGTAATATGGTCACAATAGTTAATGTTCAGTTCTTGAAGGTTTTTGCAGTCTTTTATCTTTGCCACTCCAGCATCTGTGACACCAGAAGCTGAAAGATCCACAGATAGAAGGGATGAACCCTGTGAATATATGGCGTCCATCCAATTATCATTAAGGCCAGGATATTCTCCCAAAATAACATCCTGCCAATAAAATTTGAGTATAATTATCAAATATGTCGAATACAAGCCGTTTGTGTTAGCTTTTTTACTCAACTTTCTAGGTAGTTGTTCCAAAAAATTCAAAATAGGTTTTTTTTTTTTTGTAAACTGAACTTGTAAAATAAGTAAATAGCTGCTCCAAAAAGCTTGAGAAATAAATATTTGTAAACAAGCTTTTTGGGACCAAAGACCTCCCCCAAAAACTCTTCACCAAACACTTCTAATAGTTGTCCTTTAGCCCAAAAAACTCCATATCGAACACCCATTTAATGTATATTCAAGAAAGCAGTAGACGTGTACTTCATAAAAAACACCCTCAAGTGCTTAAATAAAAAAGAACTTGTGATAAACAAACTTATACCAATTACCAAGTTATCTCAAAGAGGCTATAAGTTCTTTTCCCTTCTTAAACGTTTAATTCAATTTAGATCTCTTCTATCACGATAATCTTGGACTAGGTGCTAGGTAATGGTAAGGTGTGCGTACACCCACCCTCCTCAAATCTCACTTGTGGGACCTTATTGGGATTTTGTTGCTGTTGTAGGGGCTAGGTACCTGAAAACCACAATGTTCACTCTACAAATATGAATAATAGATACCTGAAGAGCACAATCTCGAAATGCTTCAAGAACAATTCCATTTAGGCGTTGTGAACAAACCAGCTCATCGAAGATTTGTTGACTTAAATCCCTTGGAAGCATAGAGAAGGTGCTATATTTGCCAATGTCCTACAATTGAAAAGAAACACGGAGAATCTCCATTGGTTTATGCAGATTAGGAACCCATTGTTTATATTGATGTAAGCACAAACAAATAAAATTGTACTTTGCAAATTCTGGAGATACACAATTCGATGAGTGTTTGGCATTTTCTCTTTCCATCTTTTAGATCAAAAGATGAACGTGAAAACGAACTGCCGAGCCATTTTGAACTACTGCTTTTGGAATAACGTCCCGACACTGCTCTATGTGTGCTTTGATCCTCAGCCGGCTGGTCACGTTTCCTAGAACAAACAGCGCCCATCTGAAACACTCTTGTGGTGGATTCACATCAAATCTTAGCTGTATCCTGAAAAGAAGAATTAAAATTTCTTTCCAATTAATTAAAGTAAAACCAAGAATATCAACCTTCAATAAATGTTGTCTTGAGACACTACTACGGTATCTGAAGGAACTATCTCTTATATTATGTGTTTGGCAACTGAAAGATTACAGTAAAACAAGGATGAATTTTGTAGTGCAATATACAAGTAGAATCTCACAAAACATTAGGGTGTGGGGAGGGTGTGTGGTGTGTATATGCAAGACCTTACCCCTGCTTAGAGACACTATTTCCAAGATACCCCAGAAAATTTTGTAAAATAGTCATTTTACTTCAAGTGCAACAACAACAAAGCCTTCATTACAAATAACTCATCTTGGAAGGGCCAAAAAAGAAATTACTGGATTCTTTTCTTAATTTTCTAGCTTTCCTCCATCAAGAAATTACCAGTTTACCACACTGTGTCCAAGTGGAAAATTGATACAGAGCCGTAATTTCTTCTCCTTGTTCTTATCACTGTAGAAAACACTTTCATCATTCAGGGTACATATAAGAGCGTGAGATTCACCCTTAAAATCTGAATAATAAGGTTAGAAAGTCCTCAAGGTAAACAATGGATGAAATATGAGTAATTTCTCAAAATTTTCATGAGCGCATTGCCCTCAAATATTACAGTTGATTCAGTAGAAAATTTTGATTTTTTAAAGTTAATCCAGAACCATGTTGTTTTGTGGTCTGAATGCTATGAAGATCACTTCATATGCACTCCACATTGCAAGTGAAAGAATCAGATCACTTGAGATGCACTCCATATTGCAACCTTTAGGAAAAGACATGCTACTTCCGTCCTAAAAGAACTTCTTGTTATCATTTTCCAAATGTCCCAAAAAGAAGTTCGTATTCGATTTAGGAAATAAAAAGTGTGACTCTCTAAACTTGAACAATACAATTTCATTTTTTTTAAGGTCATGAAAAAAACTAGAACTTCTTTAAGGGAGGGGGGAGTAAAAATTAAGGTAAGCAGTATCTTTTAATACTCCATTTCTTTTAAAGGTACCACCTTTTGCTATGATATCTAAAGAATCGTCTGGGTAAGGAGTAATTTGGCTAAAATGAAAAAAATTGCTTAATTTTCCCTAAGGGAGAGCTTCTGCAACATCCATAAAGACCAAACTGGGGCCCACTTGGCACTCAGCTCACTACCAAAAAGCTAAAGATGTTTGAGTTAGCCATTTGATTATTTCTCCAAACACTTTTAAGAACACTGCTAATACTCCCTCCGTATTACAATGAATTACACCCCCTCAATAACTTCTAACCGTTTCGATCAGAAAGCCCTTTTCTTTACCAACAAAATCTGCCCAAGAAAACTCCTTCCCAAACACCCCTCTTTGGAAGGAAAACAAGAATCGAAATTTAAGGGGAAAATAAGTATGAAAATCACAGGAAAAGTAAAATCTTTTTTCAAGAAAATAAAATTCCCATCACTAATAAAATAATTTAAAACAGAAAAAATACATGCACCCTTGGTAAAAAAAAAAAGAAACCTTTAAACAAAGTGTGAGATATTGACTGAAATCGATAAAATATTTGGGAAGGAACAAGAAAAAATCGAACCTTTAATAGTAACTCTGAATAATCAGGCGAGGATCACTTTCTTTCCAAAGTCTAGAGAGAGAAATAGAGAGAGAGAGAGTGAGAAGTTTGAAGGGGAGGAAGAGGAGGAGAAGATGATGGAGCAGAAACGTAGTGCAAGTTGGAGAAGTCCGAAGCAGAGTACGAGGCAACGGATGAGTGCCACGTGGGGGCAGAGAGGCTCGGAGTGGGGTGTGGTTCGGGATTGTGATGGGCCCTACTGGGTCGAGCCTTCCTTTTTCTGCCCGGCTTTATCCATTTCGCAATTACGTATATTTTGCTGATGATAGTATTTGTCGGGTCCCATTTTGGAAGTTTTTTACTCCACGCTACTTAAAATTAACTTCCATTTTGCTCCCCAAGTGAAATTTGGTCCAAATAGCATTAAAATTTAACCCTTTTCGGCTTTTCTCCAAATGACAACGAACAAAAATTTTCCCCAAAATTAATGTTAAATTATTTAATTGCTAATGGTATCCATATACTAAAACACTTTTGTATCATAATTAATTTGTAGTCCGTATAAAATACAAATTATATTTTTCTCTCTTTATCGATTCTCTTTTCTTGATTCATTTGCTTATTTTTTTGATGGACATTGTAAAAATTATGAATATCGTTCGTTAATCTAGGATATTGTAAAAAGTATGGACATTGAACATTATAAAAATTATGAATATTTTTTTACTTATCGAGGACATTGATAGCTAATGAAGCAGGCATTTATAATTGCGACAATGTCTTTTTTCAACTAACAATGCCTTGGCAATGGACATATATACATTAACAATGACATTGGACATTATTAGGGTGAAGCCGTGAAAATCATTAACACTATGTTTGGTTCAAGAAATTTTGAAGGAAAAGAAAAGAAAATGGTTTTCTCTCATTTTCCTCTCTAAAATGGGAGAAATTTGGTTTTCCTTCCATTTGGTACATTTTGCCTTCTCATTCTCTTTTCCTTTCTAACCAAACAAGAAAACTTGTTTTCCACTCCATTTTCTTTTCTTTTCTCTTTTGAATTCCTTGAACCAAACATAGTGTAAATCATGCACAATGGACATTAACAGAGTGGTGGCAAGACATCGGCATTTTGTGATCGGCGACCGGCAAATTAAAGGACAGTAGGAAGTGATGGGGGCAAGGAAATATAAAATCATATAAATGGCATTTTAATACACTAAAATTAATGACTAATTATTAATTAATTAGATACTAATTAATAAATTAATTCATTATGTTTTAGTGTTATTCCGTAAACTTCTCTTATGACAATAATTTTATTCTTTGTTTTGGGAAAGGAAAAATAAAAAGGAGATAAATGTGAAAAATAAATTCACGGAGTATTTTATTTGGAAGATAAAAGAAAATGGGGGGGTAATAAATTGATATCCTAACTCATTTTATATTCAAAATTCTAACTCAAATTATCACTTAAGAAAATATATCCTATATGGAAATAAATTATATACTTGTATGTCTTATTATTTTAAAAAAAATTATACATTAGTCTTCAATTCATAATTATCTTTCTTCTTTTATTCGTTCAAAGATATTTCTTTAGTTTATTTTTCAAAAAAATTACTCCGTATTTTTTAAAAAATTGTCTCAAGTCAAATCTTGAAAACAATTTCTCTGCTTTCGAGGATCAACAGAGTCTGCGTACACGCATCCTTTCCAAACTGTACTCTCGTGGGATCCAACTGAATTGTTATTGTTTTGTTGTTATGTCAAGTCAAATATTTTTAAAAAACTTACCGTATGAGAGAGAAAAAAATTATTTTATGTGTATTATTAATTCTTTATAGTAGTGATTGTATAGAATTTTTGTTCGTACTAATAGCAACCTGCTATTCTAACCATGCATAAACCATCCTCAGTTTGCAAAAGGTTACAATTTACATTAGAACCTAACAACCTGCATCTTAATTACAGCTTACATATCAACATTCATAAGTTTGCAAAAAAAAAAATAGAAAAATCCAAATGCTACAATTTTACACTAAAAAGGAGTATGTTTCTATATATGATCATCGACTCATGGACAACCTCACCATCGTACTTAGAGTAATGATTTCTTATTACACCACAAAATTCATTGTCACGTTGGAACGTAATTACAATTTACAATTGCTCCATCCATCCCTAAATAAACTTCACTATTTGTAGAGTCAAACTAAATAAACAAATTTCAATTTTTGTGGGTGCTCTTCCAAAAACAGACTTCTCTCTCTCTCTCTCCAATGTCAAGAGAGACCTCTTATGCCCTGCAAGTTTCTTCAAGTGTTCGGTTATTTACCTCATTCACCAGTACGAATTCATCGACGAAAACTATTCCATTGGAGGAATTCATGATGAGTACAAGCACAAAGACACCACCTACATAGGTGACATCATTGGGCTTTTTCGAAGATCTCAACATTTGGGAGCAAACATCTAGAGCTACTTGTCCATGTCCATTGACCATAAGGCAACAATCACGGTCGTCCCAGTGAATTTAACTCTTTGGGGGCAAACAAGTAAACATCAAAACTCCCTTCTCCACGTCACTGCATTTGAAATACGTGTCTATCAAAGCGTTCACAAGATAAAGCTCAAATTTTAGTGTGTTCTTGTCAATGTAAGTCCTCACCCACTCTCCAAGCTCAAGTGCCCCGAGATGTGTGCGTGCAGTGAGAACGCTAACCATTGTGAACTCATACGGTTTCACATTTTCGGCTTTCATTTCACGAAAAAAGGCCAAAACATCCTTAAACCGGTTTTCTATGGCGTACCTGTTGATCATTGTTGTCCATGAAACGGAGTCCTGGCCTCTTTGGCATCTTGTCAAATTATGCTCTTGCTGAATCCATCTGTTCAGAACTGATAAAACCTGTGAGGATTGAAGTCCATGATATAACATCTCTCTGCTTCATTATGAAGAATATCTCAAGAGCAGAATCTATCTCTCTGCTTGATTCAACCTTTCAGACTTTTTCATATGGTGTAATCTAATTAAGTCGGTCAACTCGGAGAAAGCAGATAGTGCTGAAACCAGAGTAACCATTGCTTGGATTCCCTAAACCTTTTGCATTTGTTGAGCCTAGAGATCATCATGTCCCAGATAAGCACATCAGATTTAGCACTCCGATCAAATATGCCCTCAAGCCACATGAACTTCCCAGAACATGAAATAAATGTGAATCAAAGAACGGTTAACAAATTCGTTGAAGTTGAACCCAAATTTCCATACATGAACATGTCTTCTTTTTCCGGCCGCCAATGCAGTTTCAGGCATAATGATAAACCCCTTAAGCAAGAAAGGGAATGTGTAATTACCCGCGGCTTCACGTTGCTCCTCAACATCTCCAAATACAAAGACACTGCCTTTCCAGGACTCCCCACTCGTGAATAGCCCTTGGTCATCGTATTCCAAAGAACTAACTTTGGTTCGGGAATTTCACCAAACAACTGGTGGGCATACTTCATATCCCCAGAATCATGAATGCAGCGGAAAAGCTACGATCTTGGAGCAGACGATATGGCCAGTGAAATGGGTGGATTTGTATGAGATGGTCCATGGATTGGCAACCTTGAAATAGAGAGTGAGAAGGCGGGTGTGGAGAGAAATGATTCTTTCAAATCTGGCTTCAAACTTTCCCTCTGCTGCAACGTCAGCTTTAACTTACATCACAGTTTCAATGAAAATGGTTTTGAAACCCCGAGCCTTCAAACTGCGGCTTCAAACCTTCATTTTTTAAGGGTAAAAGTTACTTTCTAAAGGAGAAAGAAAAATATTTTTTGGGACGGATAAAAAAAAGAAAACTTTCTTGCGGGACGGAAAGAGTATAAGAAGCTCGCTCTAAAAAGAATAAGAAGCTCCCACTAAAATATGTTAACCATTTAGAGCATATGCAGGACTTTGCAAACAAGAAAGACAAAAATAAGAATAAAACACGAAAATAGTACCAAAATAGAAGTTTTATATTTTTTTATCACCAATATAAGTATACAATGCCAATAATGTCAATATATAATACCAAAGAAATGAAACGGGATGCTACTATACAGTGTCATAATGTGACGGTGTAAAATCCTATTTTGAAATAAAAATATGAAATTCGTGTTGTGAGTATAAACACATATTATTTTACTTTTATTTGAAGTAATTTCTTCTCTAGTAATTATCAATGGTAGAATTAAAATAAGACTAGTGGATCCCAAAAGTGTTCAAAGCAGCTTAATGCTTCTTTCTCGCTCCATGACTTAAGATTTTTAAAAAAATGATGAGCCACATAGTCGGACGAGTCTCGGTTTATGTCTACATATATGTGAAAATAATTCTTTTTTTTCAAGAACGCTAGATCCGTGCCCAACTGCGCGCAACGAGCTTCCTCACCCTTTATGGGATTTTTGAATATTTTCCACACTGCCGCTTGCGGGACTCGATCTATGGTCATCGGTCTAAGATTTCACGTTCTCGACCAACTCAACTATCCATGCAGACTTTTTTTTTCATATATTGATAATAGGCATATTCATTGGTGAACCTAAGGTCCACCATGGACCTATAAGTTTTCACATTTTATTTTTATTTAAGTAGATTTTTGGTACTTCTATGCATATGTGTGGTTTCATCCGAGTGAAGTGTTTTTAACTGTTTCTTTCACCATGTAAAAAAGTTTTCACAGCATATTTTGTGGGGGGTAAAAACTGGTCGGCAAAAAACAAAAAATTGTTGCATTAATTAATAATGATAACATTCTAATCACTCTTACGCATTGACTTAATTCCCTCTTTATTTTTACTAATTCTGTAGAATTTTTTGTTTCAATTAGTGTTTATTGACTTAATGCAATAATTCCCTGTGGTTAGAAAATAAACACTAATCACTATTTTTCGCCGACCAGTTTCTTATGTTTCTAAACCCTGTGGTTAAAAAATAGTGTTTAGAAAATTATGTGTTTATAAGAAACCTGATAATTCCCTGTGGTTAGAAAAATAGTGTTTACTCAAGTCAATGCGTAAATTAGTGTTTATTGTTGCATTAATTAATAATGATAACATTCTTCTCAGCTAGCTTGTAATAAGCTAAAAATATTTACTCACATCCAATTTAATTCTACAGAATTTCAATTCCAATTCAACTCTAATTCCATGTACCAAATTGACCCTTAAAAAATATTAATTGATGAGTGTTAATTGTGGGCTTTAATTTGTTCTAATCTGCAGAATTATGCAAGTTAAGAAACCTTAAAGAGTTCTTAAATAGTGGATTCCAATTCCAATTCAACTCGTATTGTTTAACGTTATTAATCGATTATTTTAATTATAAAAATCGATTTTTAAGTATTAATTAATTATTTTAAATATAAAAATCGATTTTTAGTAATTAATTGATTATTTAAAATATAAAAATCGATTTTTAGTAATTAATGGATTATTTAAAATATAAAAATCGATTTTTAGCAATTAATTGATTATTTAAAATATAAAAATCGATTTTTAGCAATTAATTGATTATTTAAAATATAAAAATCGATTTTTAGTAATTAATGGATTATTTAAAATATAAAAATCGATTTTTAGCAATTAATTGATTATTTAAAATATAAAAATCGATTTTTAGCAATTAATTGATTATTTACAATATAAAAATCGATTTTTAGCTATTAATGGATTATTTTAAATATAAAAATCGATTTTTAGGTATTAATTGATTATTTTTAAAAATAAAAATCGATTTTTCTTTAGTCCAGATCCTGTTCCGAAAATATTCGGAAAATATATACTCTAAAATCCACCAATTGATTATGATCATTGGAAAAATGATTTACCATAATAAAAATGATGTTTTTAACAAATAAAAATGTTATGTGATGCATGAAGGTAAGTTAGGGTGTTAACACCCGAAGCTGGGCCGCTAATTGTTATTGAATATTATGTTGATTTAATGATTATGGTAATGATTATTGATTGATTATTATGATGATTGAATCTTGATGAATATTCTGATTAAAAATGATAATTGTGAATGATTAAATCATAATGAATATATTGATGATTGTGAAAATAAAATGTATTGTTAAGGGTATCTAGAAGACCTGTAACACCCAAATCCGTCCAGGTCTGCAGCCCCATTCAGACTAAAGTATTTAACTTGGTAATCGTAAAAATTTAAAACTTTTCAAACACACTTTATTAATCCCAATAATATTTTTCATAACATATACAGTACGGAGTATTCAACAATATTGCGGAAGCGAATTTAATTTTGACATATCATAAATTGTTTCAAAACTTGTCACATCCATCCCGACAATCTCGCCCCATCTGCCGCCAGGATCACATTCTACTTTCTGCTTACCTGCGTGTAGCAAATAAAACACACTACACGCTCAGCGGTAAAGCTGAGTAAGCATATCTAATGCGTCGAACTTCCATATAAACTGAATCTAAATTCATAATCAAATCATTTGATATCATGCACACAATGTTCATTTCAGACATTCACAGTTTTGGTATTGTTCAGTTCATATCAATACATTTTATTCAATTCAGATACTATTTCAATAGTGCTCTTAAATTATTCTTAATCTAAGGCCAGATTATAACAATGCTCTTAGCTATTCTTAGTCTAAGGCCAA